TATATATATATATATATATATATATATATATATATATATATATATATTGCAAGGGTGACATTTATTTGTAAGTAGGCCCCTATTCTTGCAAATATAATTTATTGAAGCATGGCCACGCACTGTCAATAAACATATGCAAGTTGCATATAAAATATATATAATGAATTCATCTTTTAGCCAACAACAACCAGTTACAGCACTCAAGCCCCTTACACTGGACGGCGTCCTTTCTGCGACCAGCAGTACGGCCCCATTTGAGAGTTAAAAAATTATAATACTTAAATACGTGCCGACAACTGGCCGATCATTGAGCATTCATTCTGATACAAAATCAATGCTCGTGCCTCCTTATTAAGACCACAGCGATGCCAAATTTCATGGTCGCAGACAGGACGCAGAAATGACGCCGTCCAGTGTAAAGGGGGTATCAGTTATTGTTCACCTTTAATAAAGTGAACAAAAAGAATTACAAAACTGTTATTGATAATGAACCTTCAGTGGAGGATGCTGCAGTGACGTCAAGTGTCGTTGCCGTGGTAACGTCAACATCAGTAGTCTTCTCAATAGGGGTCGCTGCGTTTGCTTTAACAAAATCGACATGACGACTGTGAGATCACTGAATTCAATTTACTTTGTGTCTGTGCAGAGGTATAATTAAGAAAGGAAGGCGACAGAATTTTCTACGGTGTTTTGTATGAAATCGGATAAAATTAATAGGTGTTGCAAATATTTCAAACAAGGATTATGTGCAGTTTAATTGTGTACTTATTTTTTAATGTATGCAAATGTATCTACATTGATAAATTAGCATATTATAAAATTGTTTTATTATCTATTTAATATTCTTAATTTAAAATTTGTAATAACGAATGGGAGCAAAAATAAATAAAAACGGTGGAAAAATTGATTATATTTCCTGACACATTTGATTCCTAATTAAAAGTAGGCCTACATTTACAACTCCGCGGGGAACCTTGCCAAATACGATCAGAATCAAAAATCACACCTCTTGCTCAATGCAATCGTGTGCCCCAGTTTGTTTGTATCATACCCAACGCCGGGAGGAGGCTTGTTAATCCGTTTATCTGATTGCATTCAGCGACAGTCCTCGAGGAGTTGGACCGATCTTTGTAGAACAAGTTTCATTAGGAATTATGGGCCCTACGACCGTAACATATATCGCTGATGTTTTATATGAATAAGCTACAAAGTATACATATATACGTACATAGTATTACCAGGCTTAAGACCCCAGCAACCGACGCCAAACATACGACAAGTCCTATGCCGACCAGAGGCACTATGCGACGTTTTCGTCGGTCAGTTTTTTCATAATATTTATCAGAATTCTGGCTTGTTGTATCGTTATCTCTGATTGGGGGAACGGCCGGCAAAGGTCGATTAATATATTTTTTCCCATCTGAAATCGTGAATGCAATACGCACGTTTTAATTACACAATGCATGAAGATAATAATTTTTTATGCAGGAGTAACGAAACTGAGGGTTCGTGTAACAGAAAGCCCGACCTCCATTTAGTTTAACGTTATAATTGCATTAGCCCGATACCCTAGGTTCTCGATTTCAGTATTGCCGGTGTAACATGAAAATCTGAAAATCTGGTAAAATACAAATCTTTAATTTTTTTATTTTTTCATGAAAAGTTTTACCTGCAAACTAACAAAAAGTGCCAATGTGTCCTCCATTATGCATATTACAAGAACATGTCCATTAACTCAAATTAAATGAGATTTATGAATGTTTTTTTTTTTTTTTTGGGGGGGGGGATTCAAAATTTCATAGGGGGAGTCACATTTTCATTATGAAAATCTGACTGGGGAGTCACATTTTCATAATGATAATCTGACTGGGGAGTCACATTTTAGGGGAGTCAGATTTTCATGGTACACCGGCTCGATCTTGATTTCATATATAACCCATATCAGCAATACTGAAGCACTGTAAAAACTTCCGTATGAAAGGCATAGTGAGCAAGCTAGCTTAAAAGAGGCCATGACACTCAGGGCATATAGCCTGACCTAAGTGGGCCAAAATCTAGGGCCAGGCTAACATGTACATGTACAAATGAATGGAAAGCAGACTCTATCATGGGGGTCATAGGGGGCTCTCTGTCACACCGGAGTACAGAATTTTTCCCCATCTCAATACATTGCAGACTGAAAAATTGGTTTGAGTTACGCAAAGATTCAAGTTTGGCAATATTCATACGCTTGAGCTAACACACACACACACACACACACACACAAAACACACAGAGAGAGAGAGAGAGAGAGAGAGAGAGAGAGAGAGAGAGATTTGTTGAAGACAAATGAAAGCTCATGTATAAAGACCTTCTTTTTATCTACTTGTTATAATACTGATAATCCAATTATTTAACGATGTCTGAAGTTTACATGTGATCTTTTATGTAGATCTCTTGATAATACCTTGAAATGAGGAGCACGTTTAAGATTTAAAAATTAAAAAAAAAAAAAAAACAAACTGCAACACATTAAAGTGCACAATGCAACTTTTCGATGCAAAAATAATAATAATAATAATAATAATAATAATAATTATTATTATTATCATATGTAGGAATGTATATATATGAATTTATTAATAATATACCTTTTGCCAGAGGATAGATCTGTGAGGAATAACGAGAATGGTCTCCTTCTCTCAGAGTTTCGTAGCTCGGATCAGTATCTTCATATTGCTCATCTTTCGTTTATAGACCGGTGATTATGAAATATATAACACATATTACCTAATGTTACCTTATATAAAATACAATAAATCTGGTGTTTTAGACATAAAATTAAATGTAAGACAAGAAGTATCGCTTATGTAAACCACATAAGGGGTTTCGTCTGTAAGATGAGATATTTTAATAATTTTCTAATTTGCTGATGCACATTTCTAAAAAAAAATCATTATAATCCTTCTTCCCCTACTCTAAGATCGAACTGTTTATCGGATTCAACGCTGGACTGAGACCAGATTTAAGCGTTAACACAAAGCACATTTCCGTCGTATTTTTTAATCGTTAACTTGAAAAAGTTCCCACTAGTTTAATTACATATAATTTTTAAAAGATATTAACCTTCAATCTTCCCTTACCTCTCCAGAATTCAGAATATTTGTCAATCATGTCCACTCGGGTCTCCAAATATGCTAAGAAAACGCGGTGTCAATTAAAAAGTGCACCCGATGCAAAACAATTAAAAATTACCATAAAAAAATAATTTAACAGTACAATGCCGGCTGAAACGCCCAAAAACCGAAGTTCAATTCCCTCATCTGTAGATATTTTGCTTTCCCCCAATTTTTCTCTTAAAATGACAGTCAGTTGCCTTCCACCTGATCCCCCAAGAATTATGTATCACTAACAATATTTGAGATTAGAAACACTTGGTTTGGCGTGCACTTAGCAGAATGGAGTTTCGGATTACCGAAACTGGTGGCAATTTACAGGAACAGCACCATCCACATGTAATGAAATGGGAACCTTTTAACAAAAGACGAAAATCAATTCGAGTTGAATCTGTAAAGTGGATATTTGAGTTAACCCCATAATATACAGGGTCTAATTGCTTCCCAGATGAAACTGGTCGTATTTCTTGGAATGTATCAGTGTAACACCGTCAAAAATGCATCAGCAAGTTAACAAATAAGCATTATCGACATGACACATTCGCCTAAGTCATCACACTCACCTCTTTTTCAAATGACACACGCAGACTTCATGTTTTCCCTTTGTTCAAACTTAATTTAAAACGAGATAAACAACACCTTTTATGCAAGGATAGAAAAAGTACCCTTCTAAGTTTTTTTTTCATTTGAGAACATTAGATGAGTAGCTACGCTTGTTAANACACTGTCACATCTAACACACTGTCACACGTAACACACTGTCACATCTAACACACTGTCACACGTAACACACTGTCACGTCTAACACACTGTCACACGTAACACACTGTCACATCTAACACACTGTCACATCTAACACACTGTCACATCTAACACAGTCACACGTAACACACTGTCACATCTAACACACTGTTGTTTTACACACAATGTAAGTATTAAGGGAAACGTTAATGAAAATGATATTTATTAATCTAAAATTTATTACTGATGTTGAGTAGACTGAAAGGCTTTGCACGAAAGCAATGTTACACAATGCCATTCTTAAGGCAATGTCCAATAACTGACATCTCGTACTTAACACAAACATACTGTCATGTCTGACACACTGTCATACCTACCGTACCGTCACATACGACGCATTGTCACATCTTACACTCTGTCATATCAAATATATGTTGCATATAAACAGTGGCCTATTTACACATAGCACATTAAAGGGATAATAACTCTTCGTATGAAATCTGTATTTCACAATAAAAACATTGTGAATGACTCATGAAAATATAATATATTCTGTTTTCCCACAAAAACGGCTGTTATAGCTATTATTCTGATATCTGAGCTTGTCTTTAGACCACGTGACTTCCATTGATGGCTATACTCTGTTAAAATCTCTTAAGAGATTTAAACAAAAAACCAAACTTTTTAGAAAAAAACCAGGGACTAACTTTGAATGTAAAAATGGATTCATTAACCATTGGTAAGTATGGGGAAATTGTTGTTTACTCCAGGAAAATTCATTTTTTGGCCGAAACGAAGAGTTATTATCACTTTAAATTACAATATAAAGTGGCACATGTGACACAATGTCAGAATTTAGGAAGTCCCATCTAGGAAAAAAATAATAATTTTATAACTAACAACATACTTGTCAGTCACCATGATAAGAGTGGATCACAATCATCATCAATGCACATCTGTATATTTTAAATTTTTATTCAGTTGTTCTTATTTACGTATAAGTATATAATAAACTCACCAGAGAATAATTTGAATTAATTTATTTACAGACTCCACCGAGGTAACCAAGACTTTCACTTCCCCATCCAGCTGTCTGATGAAATTCTTCCCAAAGCTATCTTCTACGGCACAGTGGTGCCCCTGGTGACTTACTTTGTGGTGAAGAAATTGATAGTGGACCCATTTGTACAGAAGGAAAAGGAAGAGTGAGTAGAAATTATACACAAAGCATGGATACTAGGCATGAAAGCTTTGACCATGAAATGTGGGTCAAGGTTACTGATTTACATGAAAAAGTAGGCCAAGGTGACCTATTTATGAACTCATCTGTGAGCCCTAATGAGAGAGTTGGGTGCTGGTGGTCTTTTTTTGGTGATGGCTAATGTCCTTAATGTAGCCTTCCTCTGTATTCAGAATATTCATTCTTGAAATTATTATGAATCAGTATGGTGAAACGTAATACTCCATTCCTTTTTCTTTCCCTCTTTCTCTCATGTTGCATTTTTAATATAATAATTATTATATTTAATGTTCTTACAGGGACACAGACAAGAAAAAAGAAAAATATGCAGATTTAATTGCTGAGAAGAGACGCCAGGCACAGAGTGCTGTAAGGATCCAAACTCCAATAGTTATTAATTAATTAAAACCATTTTTAGTTAATAGAAAAGTGTTAGATCTGAAAGATTTAAATGAGATTTGGACAAATTGAAAGATTGAAAATGATATGAAAAAAAAATTGGACAATCTTTATGAAGGTAGATGTTGATATTAGGTGTACATAAAAGATGGTATTTTCTCAATTTTTTAATTATTTATTTTTATCTATTTGTTATTTATTTATTTATTTATTTATTTATTTATTTATTTATTTATTTATTTCAGGTGGAGTTGATGAAGGAGACAGTTGAGAGGATACGTGAGGAAGAAGAAAGAAAGGGTGGCCTGATCATAGTGAGGGCTGTCTACGGGAAGATTATCTCCACCGATTCTGGGTAACAGACAGCAGCTTTATCTTTGAAATTTAGAACTAGAAAACAGTTAACAGATTGTAGTTTTCTCTTGTAAAAAATGCACTGTTTTACAAATACGTAATATTGCACAATGAATTGAAACTGGAAAATAAAATTTATAAATGACCTAAGTACAACAACATATATTACCTGCAAAGAGTTTCTTTTTAAGGATTTATGAAAATGAGCAAGGGGCATTTTCATATAGTTTCTCTTCAGTGATTTATATTTTAAGTATTAGTGTAAAACAAAAAAAAAAGAGAGAGAGAGAACAACCCTTTATGCTAATCCTAAAATGGATTCCATTGCAGTGACTTCAATGAAAGCCAGTGTATAGATGCTAACATCCCGCTGCAGGTCATGGTGAAAAACTCGTCTCTCATTTTGCCAGAAACAAAGTCAAAGGTAATTCTCACAGTTGAGCGCTATATGTAAGGTTTAAATTTTGAAATTACAAAAAATGAAATTATCCACATCCTGCAGTGTTAAAATGTGTAGGATTTGACATTTTCTTACTCAGCAAATTTTATTATTTTTATATTTCTGAATCATTGAAAACATTTATGATAAAAAGCTGAATATCTGATAGAGTCATAGCATATTGAAAATTTAACTCTTTTGTTATATTTAGTTATATTTCCTTTCTCTATTGATAATGAGTACCAAGATGTGACCCTGGCCATCCGGCAAATAGTTTGTTTATACCTATTTTATCAACATCACGACTACATCTCTAAAAANATTAAATTTATATAAAATAATATCATGGTTGGCCGAAAAATTGTACGCACAGTGCATCCGTGCGTATGCCTAGTTACGCCCATGCAAATGAATGGGAAGCAGACTCTATCATGCGGGTCATAAGGGGCTCTCTGTCACACCGGAGTTCAGAAATTTTCCCCACCTCAAAACATTGCAGACTGAAAAATTGGTTTGAGTTACGCAAAGATTCATGTTTGGCAATATTCATAAGCTTGAGCTCACACACACACAAAACACACACAGAGAGAGAGAGAGAGAGAGAGAGAGAGAGAGAGAGAGAGAGAGAGAGAGAGAGAGATTTGTTGGAGACAAATGAAAGCTCATGTATAAAGACCTTCGATCTTTTTATCTACTTGTTATAATACTGATAATCCAATTATTTAACGATGTCTGAAGTTTACATGTGATCTTTTATGTAGATCTCTTGATAATACCTTGAAATGAGGAGCACGTTTTAGATTAAAAAAAAAAAAAAAAACAAACAAACTGCAACACGTTAAAGTGCATAATGCAACTTTTCGATGCAATAATAATAATAATAATAATAATAATAATAATAATAATAATAATAATAATAATTATTATTATTATTATTATTATTATTATTATTATTATTATTATATGTAGGAATGTATATATTAATTTATTAATAATATACCTTTTGCCCGAGGATAGATCTGTGAGGAATAACGAGAATGGTCTCCTCTCAGAGTTTCGTAGCTCGGATCAGTATCTTCATATTGCTCATCTTTCGTTTATAGACCGGTGATTATGAAATATATAACATATATTAGCTAATGTTACCTTATATAAAATACAATAAATCTGGTGTTTTAGAAATAAAATTAAATGTAAGACAAGAAGTATTGAATATCGCTTATGTAAACCACATAAGGGGTTTCGTCTGTAAGATGAGATATTTTAATAATTTTCTAATTTGCTGATGCACATTTCTAAAAAAAATCATTATAATCCTTCTTTCCCTACTCTGAGATCGAACTGTTTACCGGATTCAACGCTGGACTGAGACCAGATTTAAGCGTTAACACAAAGCACATTTCCTTCGTATTTTTTAACCGTTAACTTGAAAAAGTTCCCACTAGTTTAATTACATTTAATTTTAAAAAAGATATTAACCTTCAATCTTCCCTTACCTCTCCAGAATTCAGAATATTTGTCAATCATGTCCACGTGGGTCTCTAAATATGCTAAGCAAACGCGGTGTCAATTAAAAAGTGCACCCGATGCAAAACAATTAAAAATTACCAGTACAATGCCGGCTGAAACGCCCAAAAACCGAAGTTCAATTCCCTCATCTGTAGATATTTTACTTTCCCCCAATTTTTCTCTTAAAATGACAGTCAGCTGCCTTCCACCTGATCCCCCAAGAGTTATTTATCACTAATAATATTTGAGATTAGTAACACTTGGTTTGGCGTGCACTTAGCAGAATGGAGTTTCGGATTACCGAAACAGGTGGCAATTTACAGGAACAGCACCATCCACATGTAATGAAATGGGAACCTATTAACAAAAGACGAAAATCAATTCGAGTTGAATCTGTAAAGTGGATATTTGAGTTAACCCCATAGTATACAGGGTCTAATTGCTTCCCAGATGAAACTGGTCGTATTTCTTGGAATGTATCAGTGTAACACCGTCAAAAATGCATCAGCAAGTTAACAAATAAGCATTATCGACATGACACATTCGCCTATGTCATCACACTCACCTCTTTTTCAAATGACACACGCAGACTTCATGTTTTCCCTTTGTTCAAACTTAATTTAAAACGAGATAAACAACACCTTTTATGCAAGGATAGAAAAAGTACCCTTCTAAGTTTTTTTTTCATTTGAGAACATTAGATGAGTAGTTACGCTTGTAAAGGACACATTAGCTGATTATTTACGAAAAACGTGCTGCACACGTCAAAGAAATGGGCATAGAAAAATAAACTCGGGTAACGATAATGTGTCCAGACACTCTTGGCTGTACAATAAATAAATAAATTTTAAATTGTTATAATAATACAACTGTTTTTATTGCAGGTGCGCCATGATTTTTAGTGAAATTTACAAATTACAGAGACAACTTTCACTTGGTCAAAAACTTACTTAGCAACTTCTTACATTAAAGGGATAATAACTCTTCGTATGAAATCTGTATTTCACAATAAAAACATTGTGAGTGACTGATAAAAATATAATATATTCTGTTTTCCCACAAAAACGGCTGTTATAGCTATTATTCTGATATCTGAGCTTGTCTTTAGACCACGTGACCTCCATTGATGGCTATACTCTGTTATAATCTCTTAAGAGATTTTAACAAAAAACCAAACTTTTTAGAAAAAAAACAGGGACTAACTTTGAATGTAAAAATGGATTCATTAACCATTGGTAAGTATGGGAAAATTGTTGTTTACTCCAGGAAAATTCATTTTTTGGCCGAAACGAAGAGTTATTATCACTTTAAAAGCTTTCAATTACTTGCTCAAAAGTCCTAAAAAATGTTTTAAACTTAAGACTTATAAAAATAATGAAGCCAAAATTATCCTTCATGATCATAGTATCTATTTTTCGTTGGGCAAAAAGTAAATAGATAAATTCCCTTTTAAGTAAACTTAAAAGAAAATAGTACAATTTCACCTAGACAAGAATCTTGGGTGACAAATAATTACATTATTTCATTCGACAACTTCAAAGATGAAAAAGAATAAAATCTTTGTCCTTTATATGCAGTCATATTGACTGGCAATTTTTCAAAATTCTTACAATCATATTTTGGTCAATCAGATTATTAGCACTTAGGTCACTTTCGGCACTGACTGAACTAAAATGACCTCTTGACCAATTCATGGATATGTAAGACTTGATTCCAATCATATGAGACAATTGAAGAAACCAATGTATCATTTGTATATGCCGACCTTCACTGTGACATGCACTCCATAAAAAGTGAGGATGATATGGCCGAAACGTGCAAACTAGCCATTTTTTCAAAATATTATCTTAAAATGATGAACAATGGTTTAAAAGAGAATTTCCATAACACTGTATAATTCATACAATCTTTACTGTTCATTATTTATGCCTGGTACAAAAAGGACTGGGTATATACC